CACCTTCTACTCCTTTCCTCCAATAACTTACACAAGTTTGTCACATTTTGAATGTTTCTCCTGTTTCGTATGATGCCTCTCCTTCCTTTTTTGTGCAAGATCCTTAACTTGAACTATTTGATGTTCCCTATTCACCTGACATTGAGTTTCAATGCACAACTGTTTTTATCACAGTTAAGTTTGGGGGTTAGTATATCTCAACCCCCTTGAGTTTCTGACCAACACACTTCAGCATTTCTTGCTTTTTTTGGGGTGGACTATCCCTTTCTCTGATCACCAGTTATGGTGCAACATTGTCAATGACTTTCCATCTTTTCTGAAACCATTTTCTGTTTCTTTCTTAAATTCTTCCACACTTCATAAATGCCTTTTGTAAACAGTCATCCTCCTCATTTGGTTCTTCTTCTGGACTAGGACCTCTGCTTAGTTCTCAGGATTCTTACATGTCCTCCATCCAAACTTTTGTCTACCCGTTCCCTGTGCCACCTTTCTCTTAACCCTTTTGCAATGGGTACCCCTTTAAACTTTTTTCTGTGCAAGTCACTGAGTTACAGTCAAAATTTAATTAAACAATAGATAAATAACATATTTTTAGTAGAAAGACTTAATTTAAATAATGTCATTCTTTGTGTACAAGATATTTATAATCTTTAACAAAATCTTACCAGTTTTTGGGAGGATGTATTAAGAAAGCTTGAAGTTACAGTATGTATTGTTGCACACATATCTTTCCCCAAACAGGCTTCTGTATTTTACATGATCCCACTGTGAAAAGGCTAAGACATATTTTCTTTTCCTTTTCACTTGTGAAAAATATCAGTCTAATATTGTTGTGTTGGATGCTTCCTGAACTCCTTGTCTCAAAGACAGGTTTATTTTATTGCCAGGATGCTCCTTTCTCCCAAGACTTGGCCACTCAGGAGGGTGATTGGAGAATTATCTTTCTTCTCTATATGTTCATTCACACCACAATCCCCTCCTTTGTCTTGTTCAGGCAGTTCACTGTTATCTTGCTTGTACTTTTCGAAGCAATCACCACAGTCTCTTTTTTCATTGCAGTGGAATTCATCCTCTTCTCATGACTTATCTCCTTCTACCTTGACCATTTGGGTTAAAAAGCTCATCTGTTCCTTCATGGGACATGACTCTTTTAATCTTTTTGTCTCCTTTTGTAAAGTTTGTCATATCATGGCTTCTCTTTTATCAGTTCATCGATGCAACTGGATGTGATATTGCAGGTACGAATGTAGATGACCCTGACACCTTTCTGTCACATTACTTGCAGTACTTTGTGGTTTCTTTCACCATTGAATTTAATCTTCATTCAATTCTCCCAAAGGCATTAAAGAAGTGCATTTTTAATGATTTCTTTTTCTTGCAGAGTCCATAAAAGCTGCAACCACTTCAAACTCCATTGATGTATTAAAAGTTTTTTTCACCCCTAGGCTCATTTGGAAGTGCCACTCCCACACACAGTGTACCAGACATAGTCTCAACCAAGAGCTATAAAGTTTTTTAGGGCAGCAGGGTTGAGAACAACAGTTTATTAGCAACAGCAAAGAGGTGAGGGGTGGCAGGAAAAGAAAGGTCATGAATTGCAAGTCATATTTTTAACAACTGCTTATTAGTGTTGTATTCACTACATATATATATATTCACTTCAGCATTTTTTATGTAAAAAAATAAGTGTTACCAGAATTTTACCACTCTGTAAAATTTGCTGCCCTAGGTTTGGGCCTAGTCAGTCTGTGCAGAAATACATCAATGTATATATGCATATGTATACTGAACACAGTGGAACCTGCCACATGACTGGTTTTGCTTTAAAGGAAGTACTTTTCTCCCCCAAAATTCACATCAAATGGGGGATAACAGAAATTATAAAGCTCATCTATCCCTGCTCAGTATCCACAAGTTTTCCATAAGACTTCTTTGTCAGTTTACATATTTACCTTCCAACTCATACTGCTACTTCTAAACAAAAACAAAACATTAAGTGTGGTTCCCTGCCCTCATACTTGGTCAGCTCTTGCACAGTCTCTCAATGTTTGACTTTATGCAGGTGATAAATAATACCTTTTTGGTCCATGCTCCTCTTTGATGTTCTTCCCAACACAAATTCCTCTCTTCTGTTTTCTTCTAGTGGAGTGGGAGAATTTTTGCTTCCCCTGATCAAAGCAGCTGAGGAGGTTGATATTGAGAGTTCCCTCTTGGATCCATGTAATCACACTAGTATGAGAATGTGTAGATGTATGCCCTCATTTGGATGTAGGGAAGAGAGGTTTACCTGGAGGTGTAGTACAGGCCACATCATGCACTAAGAACCAAACCATTCCTGATGGTTGTTACCAGCTGCAGGTGTCTTGTTTTCTCCTTGGGACACAGGTTTAGGAAGATTCATCTCTGCACTTGCTAATTCTGGTAGGTGTTTTCCATACTGTCATCATAGAGACCGATTGATGTTTCCAGGCTATTCCTTTCTTTCAAAGACTTGGACTGCCTGGGAAAGCAATAGGATATTTTCTCCCATCTATCACTTCTCTGTTTCACCATTTCATGATCATTCCGTTCCAAATGAACTTTTGTATCCTGTACAGGCTGCTCCTTTTCATGAAATTTGCAGTCACCTATTTTTACTGTGGCAGACTTCCTTTTCTCAGGTCTTGGACTGTTCCTCTTTAAGTGATTAGGCTCACCAAATCATTCATTTTGGATATTCTTTTGATGGGTCTGATCATATGCTTTTTTTGTATCTTCTCCTACTATTTTCAGCATATTACATCTTCTCTTGCCTTTTTTAGTTGCTGGCCTTTGGGAGAGATATTACAGGCTGGTATATGGACTACACATAACACATTTGCCTTCTATTATTTATATCATTGGGTTGTTTCCTGTATCATTTATCATTCTACTCAGAGGCTCTAAATTGGCAAGTTTTGTCTGTTGTGTTTTTCAGATATCTTCATGTCATTCATAAATTCATGGTACCTCCATGTGTGTATCATGATTTTTGTACATATTGCAACACATTGCAAGTTCCTCAACAACAAAAAAACACAAACCAAGCTGTAGGAGGCAAGACTAGCCAAACAAATTGTTACATAATAAACTACACCTTATGTTCCTTATGCTGGTGCATTGGCACCCACTGAGTAGCCAGTTTTGCCTCACAGGGAATACTTATCCCAACTCTGCATCAAGCGGGAGAGAACGAAAAGCATTTAACCCATCCACCCTGGTCAGTACCCACCATTGAGAGAGTTTTTTTTTGCAAGACTGCTTTGGCAGTATATCTCAATAAATGGCATGGCCATTTCTGCACCATTTACAAAAAACACACAAACAGTACCAGGTATAGTACAGCCTCTACACCTGGCTCAGACTTGCTGTCTTTAGTTGTAGTAACCCACTGCACTGTTTCTTGGAATGGAACCAATTACAGGTGATTAGCACTTGAAAACCTTTACTTTCCAAATCCTAAGCCACTTGGGATGTCGATACAGTTTTCTCTATGAGTGATGCCTTCCTCCTGGTGAGAGACCGGTTGGGCTTACCCCTCTTTGAGATGTAGGGCTGGAGTGTTCCCTGGAATTGTAGTACAGTACACCCCATTACAATATTTCCCAAACAGTTCCCAGTGGATATGTCCAACTGGATGGGACTTGAATTTGCCTTGGGATGCAGGTGTGAACTCCTTCTCCTTGCACTTGTCATTACAATATCTATCTCATATAAATATTTCACCAAGACGGAATGTCCTACACATTTTCCTGTTCCACCCACCTTTACAACATGTTACCACTGGCACTAGATTTATCCGATATCCTTTACTGTAAATCTCTCTGTGATGTGAATGTAATATATGAATGAATGAATAACACGTTGGGCCAAGAATATATTTCCACTTGAGAAGCATGCATTCTCCCACCAGGTACTACTTCATTAGATGACCCCCAATCCCGTTTAAGTCATACCCCATGGGCTTTTTTCCTTTTCTGTCACTATTTCAGAAAGGAGCCCATCTTTTCATTGATCAACAAAAGCCTCTCCACCATTTTCATTGTAGCAGAGGACTAAGTAGTTTTCTAAAGTTTATAATTTTCTTTACTTGAAAATGTATTTCAGGTAGATACTTACCTGTCTACACCCCTACCCACTTCTGGTGCATTTACTATGATCTTATGATCACATGCCAGTGCTCACAGGGATTTCCATGCACAAAGGTCATGTTGCCTTCCTATTGGTGGAGGGTTACAATATTATAGTGATTATATCATAGGTTGGCACAATACATATAGATGCATGTAGAGGTGGGAGTTTTTCAATGTTTGTAGGATGCACAGAAAATTCCAAAGCAGTTTCATGCAAGACAATAGTTCTTAGTAGTTCAGAGAGGTATGTATCTAACTGAAATACATTTTTAGGTAAGGAGAATGTTAACTTTTAATTGACTTTGATCTAGTCTTCTGCATTTCACATGTCAATAAAGAGGCTACCTATTTCCTGACCTTTATAGGGATTTCTGGCCATCTGGATGTGGTTTCATTTATTGAAACCTGTGCTTCAAATATTTAAGTATGAGGAACAAATTCTTATCCTTCCTCTCCAAATGCAGAGATCTTTATTTTTTACATGCAAACAATATCCAGTAGAAGTATTTTGTATAATTATAAGGTAAGTTCAACTGGTAGAAATATATAGACTTGTTCATTCAGACACTAAACTGTAGTATAAAGTAGTTTAGCTAAAATAATTCAACCATTGTTTTATTTGTTTTTATAGCTTCACTGACATACAAGATAGTGACTTTTCATATATCCTTATATAAGATTTATTATCAGTCATGTTTACATGGTAAATTTATATGAAGTATTTGTATGATTAATTAGATAGAAGATTTTCCATGTGGAGATTGAAATCTTGTATTTGCTGTTATAAGACATTTTCTTTCTCTACAGATTATGTAAATTAATGTATTCTTAAATATTTTTCATTGTTAGACGTGCTCATCTTCGGAATTGTCTGGAAAAGCTAAAAGAAATGGTTCCTCTAGGACCCGAGTCTAGTCGACACACTACCTTAGGGTTGCTGAACAAAGCCAAGTTATTTATTAAAGTAAGTCCATAGGTTTATGCATTTGACAGTTAGCTTACCTATGGTTTTATACTTGTTCATTAGATTACTGATTAAATTATTGTGTGCTGGAGAGTTATTTACCTTTGTTTTATAGATTCTTATTAAAAATTGGTGTTTCATCTTGGTGGTTAATATCACATGTGAAATGTTACGAATTTAATTATGTTTTATACAGGGATCAACTGAGGAAAGTATGAGTTAAGATTTTAAGAGAATAATACAATTTGACTTTCTATAGTTCTCATTTTGACAGGATTTGATGCATAAGACTAATGTGATAATATTTAAATTTTATAATGTGTTGAGCTGGTGTTAAATATTAAATGTAATATGTTATTCGAACTAGTGACTAGTAATGACACTTTTAGTTTTGTAAAATATTTAAACTGTATTGGATGATCCATGATCATTTCAGATCAGTAAAACTATTTTTTTGATGTAGTATAACTTAATTGATATTAAAGTGATTAGATAAGTTAGTTAAAAGGTTTTGACCTGAACTGATCCATAATGAATAGTATGTAGATTTGTCAGATCAGTTGAACAGGTTTCTACTTAACTTGTCAGTATGAGTTTAATAATGCATTTAAAAACAAATTATTGAATGGCATTGCAAATTTGAGTTTAATAGACAGGATATGGCTTCACATGACCTCTGCTGGGTGTTATTAAAACTTTTTATTTAATGAATTAGAACCTTGAGGAGAAGGAGAAGAAACAAGAATTTCAGAAAGAACAACTTTTACGGGATCAAAGGTACCTGAGAAGGAGACTAGAGCAGTTAGGAGCAGCTATTGTAAATCAAAAAGAGAAGAAGTATTAGTGAGAGTAGCTCACTGACATCTTTCTCTGGAAGTTCTCCATCAGAGTCAGGTTAGGATAACCACCACATTTTTGCTAAGTAGGAAGAGTAGTGTTTAGTCCCACTTTCTATAAATGATTGTACAACAGGCAGCAAGATTTAACAAATCAGTATTTATCAGGGGGTATTGAGTATTTTTTCTTTATAACTGTTGATTTTTAAGAGTAAGGTTATAAAAGTGAAAAATGTAGTTATTACTGCTAAACAGTGATGTTAATCACATGTAAGGTTATCCAGTAATAACAAAATTAATAGCATGAAACTGTGATGTTACATTTTAGGTAGAGGATACTAATCACACTAACATATAGGATATTGATATTAGACTGGTGTAAAAATTAAGGGGTTCAATAAGTGTTAACTGGAATTAAAAAACTGACAGTTTTTAAATTATGGGGTAATTTAACCTTGCATTGTTGTAATTATAATTCTTTTAAGTTCAATAGTTATGGAGACCTACAACCTAAATTAGCATCTTATATCAGGTATGATCTGTAAATGTATTGCTGTATTTTCTTGGATCAAAATGTTCAGTATGTTAGTGAAAAGGCTAATAGTTGTTTACTGTTATACAAATGAAAAGCAAAATATATTAAAGTATTTTGTGGGTATTAGGTATGTGTCATGCATTCACAGCATATTTAGTATAATGTATGTAGCATTATGCTTCAGTCTGTTTTTAAAACAAGTGTCATGGTCAAAGAAAATGTGCAGATAAGTACTAGTTTGACCTGCAATTTTAGGATGTATTCTAGACATAAGTTTGAATGTTTAATGGAGATGTTTTTTTACCATAACAATGAAAAATCTTGTTTCTTAAAAGATCATACTTTTTAATGATCTGTTATTTTTCTTTATTCTGAAATTTGTTTCTTAGAAATGAGCTTTCACTACTGTTTTGTTCTTTCTTGGTAATAAATAAGCATTATATTTCCTTCTTTGTTTTCTGTGTACTTTATGATTAAGCCATTAATTCTTGTATATAATTGTTTCTCTATAATACTTTGTAATTTCAAATATTATTCTAATATCTTGTTTCAAATATTATAGATGACATTGACATCTTGGGCTACAACAGTAATCCAAGTGACACTGATGATCACAATAGTATTCAGAGTATGAACAGTGATGGCGGTATGACTATTACCACCAGAAGACTGTCTTTCATCGATGATGTTACTCTGTAACCATATCAGGCTTTCACATTTTTACCTATAATTTTTCATAAAAAAAAGTACAGGCTAAAGAAAATTGAGAAAATAATTGATTGTGAGTTTAAATTGTTTTATCTTGTCTTTTAAATAACATATATAAATGCATGGAATAGTTTATGAAGATTGTTTCTAAGATTTATTTTATAACATCTATAAAAATACTACTGGCTCTTTCTAGCTGTTAAATTGAAATTTCAAATGTTTTTTACATTTTTTAATTTCAAAATTTGCTGGTATTGTATCCTGTTTTTGACAGAGTGTAATTCATAGGAAGAAATGGTCTTTATTTCACATTTCAGAATTAACCTAAACTGAAGTAGGACTTCATTTTAAGAATTTGAAGTTCTTCACTATCAAAATTAAAACTACACTTAACTCTAAAGATCTTATATTGTTTACATTGTTACTATCAATTCAAACTAAATTGCTATGTTAAACTAAAAATTTAACATTGTAATAACATTAATTATAATTTGTAGGTCATCTTCATAAAGAAGATGAGATCTTGTATTTTTAGTGGAACAATATTTTTTTTATACCAAAGTTGTTGTTATTTCTATGTTGAAATTTAATTAATTGTTTATGAAAATAGCCAAGGCTATATATTTGACTTTAAAATCATTATTTTCCTCTTATTTTATGTAGAAAACTTTGATGTTTACATATTAAATTAATTTTAAAAATTATAGTTTATTTCAGTTATGGTAAATAGCTAAAGCTTTAGTTTTTCTAAAGTCAGTTTTAACATGCTTCCCTTTTGTTTTGTTTTTAGACACATTCAATTAACAAATAGGATTATATGATTACTAACATTGTTGGGTTAACTTGAATGTATAGATAATGATAATTGAAAGTAAATCTATGCTAGTAGTTTTTGGAACTCAAATGACTGACTGATGAGCATTTTGAAGTACCAGTTGCATCTGTCTTTAGATTATGTTGCTGGGTAACAAAGTAACAATTTCCATATCATTTTGGATGGGTAGGTGAAGCAGCTCTTGGAAGGAAATGGTGGTTTCTAGGTGTGACAGTCAAATTAGCTTTGAATGATTGTGGAATTAGTTTCTCAAAAGAGTTTTGTAGCTGAGTAAATTGACAGTCACAGTAAAATGACTTTAGATCAGTTTTGAGGAGAATTTAGTAACTGAGTAAAGACAGTCAAATAACTCTGGATAGATTGGGAAAAAAATCTCAGAAGAAACTAATATTAATGGCTTTGTAACATTGTGGCAATAAACAGGTCATTTTAAATGTGTATTGAAAACAGTACTTCGGGAGGAATTAAGAACTACTTAATGTTTTGGCAGATGCCAAAAATATATAGATTAATATCTGGTAGGTATTTGATGTGCTATAACAGTTTACAGAAAGTAGGGAAGACTATAGTGACATTTTAACATTTACTCATAGTGATTAAAGCTGTTATTGTGGGATACAAATCTCTGCCAAAAAAATACAAGGTATTGAAAAATGTCTTGTAAGAACCCAGTATTTGATAAATAACTGTTCTGTAGAGAGAGTTTGTTAGATTAACATCCTTGAACAAAGATTGTTTTCTGTATGTTATTATTGATATGATCATTGTAATCCTTTGTAAATTTTTAAGCATGTATAATAGACAAACATTTGTCTCTCACAATTAGGTAGTTTTTGTGATCTTATCACTTTCACTATAATTTTCCTGTAGGTTGGGCATTAAATTTGCAATGCTTTAATTAATAGTACTGAAAATACAAAATTAAAAGTATGTGTACTGTTAACTGTCGTAAATGTAGGGGTGCACAAAGTGCAGTTACAAAAGATACTGGACCCACAATGTTTGGTTGTGGTTCTTCCACCAAACCCCAAACTGACTAAAGATTTTTTTTGTAAATGTCTTATGTTTTAAGTTAATCATTTTCAAATTTTATTTACTTCTTTTTTTTGTACATGCAATGTTGTATAGCTTGTCCTGTATAGATATTATTGATAGTTTTAATTCTACATTTTCCTATACTGCTGTTATTTAACTCTTGAATTTAATTGCCCTTTTAGTCTTATGCATATATGTGAAATTGTGACTATAAATTTTTCGTATCGGAGAACAAGTGAGACAGACATTGAATAGAAAAGATTCATATTCTTTGGAAACATTTCCAACGTCTTTGTATATAAGTCATGTATCTTTCATTGTTGTTGTTTTTCTTTTGAGCATTTCAAATAAAATAAAGTTTTCCATAAATACTGTCCCATGTTTGTGTCCTTGGCAATTTTTCTACATGTATTTGACAGAAAAGACTCACATTTTCATTTGATTGGAAAGTCCAGAGAAAAGCAAGAAAATATTTAAGAAAAGCCATGGAATTTTTGTGTAGCCAATAAAAGGTATCCTACAATGCTAAATATGACATAAAACAAAATTATTCCTTTATTAAATATTGGTCATGTGATGTCAGCCTTGCACTTCATGATTTGTCTGTGATGCAAATATGCTTAAACTTGATTGGCTGTCTGTGATGACATGTTTGTTTGTTGTTGTTTTTTTAATTTTGCGCAAAGCTACACGAGGGCTATCTGTGCTAGCCATCCCTAATTTAGCAGTGTAAGACGAGTCATCACCATCCACCGCCAACTCTTGGGCTACTCTTTTACTAATGAATAGTGGGATTGACGACTGAAAGGGCGAGCATGTTTGGTAGGATGGGGATTCGAACCCACAACCCTCAGATTGCAAGTCGAGTGCCCTAACCACCTGGCCATGCCAGGCCATGATGATGTGACCTACTTGTTATGTACATGTCCAGTTTGGGTAACCATATTGTTTGTTGATCGCACACACACATTGATGCTGAATTGACTCGCATTTCAATGTGTAAAGAGTGACGTTGTGACTGAAGTTTTACCAAAAAAAGATGCTTCGAAAGTGCAGTTTCAAAGAAAGCTGGGTGGTACAAGGTGTGGATTACATGGGACAAAAGTGACAATAGTAAAGCGAAATGTTCCTATTGCCAGCTATCATTTGACATCTCTAACATGGGAGAAGCAAATGTTAGAAGTCATATGAAATGCAATAAGCACATCAACCAGGCCTTGGAAAAAGAAGTGGCATTTAAAATAACATATTTCAGTAACAAACAGTCAGTATCAGTGGATACTACAGCTGCAATACCAGTAAAATCCATAGCAAAAGCTGACACTGCCAATGTTGTATTATGTTCGGACACATTAAAAGCTGAAATCTCGTGGACATTAAATGCTGTTCAGAACCACTACTCTTACTGCTCTGATGATGGGGTCACAGAAATGTTTCAGGCCATGTTTTCAGATAGTAACTTAGTAAAAATGTTTTCATGTGGTGAGGAAAAAATGACATATTTTTGCTGTTTTGGATTGGCTCCTTACTTTTCAGCCCTGTTGAGAAAACAAATGAATAAAGAAGACTGACATATACTGTTGTTTGATGAAAGCCTTAACAAGATGACTGAGACCAAACAAATGGACATTCAAGGTAATTAACATAATATTTAATTGTTCTCAACATGATATTGATAACAGCAAATGTTATTGTCTTTATGTAATATATGAACTCGTTTAAAGTATAATATTAAAATATGAAGGTAAATTTTGGTCCTTGGTGAGCGGCAATACAATCTTTTAAGATCATTTCTGTATTTTTATAATTAAAAAAATTAAACACTAAAAAGTTTTTAAATACATTTTCTAATATTTTACTGAATGGTGAATACTAGTAGGATTTTGAACATTTGTAGATTGCCTGTGGGATTTAAACATTAGTAAAGCTGTCACAAGGTACCTAACATCATAGTTTATGGGATATGCTACTGCTGATCGTCTACTGCATAGCTTTCTGGAAGGCACCAGTATTCTGAGTAGACACAAGCTTTTGCAGGTTGGTAATTTCTAATCATGATGCAGTTGACTAATTCATATACTTGTATCATTTACAATCTGATGATTCATTTATTTACCATTTTAGATTTCCATGGATGGATCTAATGTGAATTGGAAGTTCCTTGATCAGCTGTGTAACCACCATATGGACACAGATGGAACATCCTTCCTAAACTTAGGCAGTTGTAGACCACACATTCTTCATGGTGCATTCAAGACAGGGATGGAAGAATCAGCCTGGCACTTGAACAAATTCTTCTAGAGCTGTTACTGGTTATTCAATGACACTCCAGCTAGGCGGATAGACTTTACATCAGTTATAGGTTCCAATATCTTCCCACTCAGGTTTTTTATACACAGATGGTTTGAAAACGTTCATGTAGCTAAGAGAAAGTTGCATAAAGAAATATGTATTAGCAGTGCCAAAAAAAATGTGGAAGACCCAAAAAAATGCTTCCTATGAAACAGTATCTAACATGTTGAATGATCCCTATTAGAGGTAAAGATCAATGTGTTTATCTCTATTGCATAACTTATAACATAATTTATTGCCACTTATCAGGCAGACAGGTAAATGATGCCCTTTCTAGCAGCTAATATGTTCAGTGTGTTGAAAAGTCTTCTGTAAAATTGTCAAAAGTGAGGTTTTAGGAAACCATGAATCATACAGTATCATGAAGTTAGATTTAGACAAAACAAACACTTGAAGGTGATGCACAAAATTGATACTTGCTTTGTAGCTGAAAGATTGATAAAGTCATTTCAGTCATTCAGTGCTAAGAGTTTGAGTGATAAGAGTATTCATGGTTCGAGATCTGATGTGAAGAATGTGATCATATGTATGGTTAAGATATTTCTAGAAAATTCTCCAGTAAAGTTTCAGTTAGTGAGGCTTTTGCCATGTTTTTATCCAAGAGAAATGTAAAGAATTAAAGCATCTTGGATTCAGAAATCTGATGGAATTTTAAAATTGTTGGTTGAGGCACAGAGAGTAAATGAACTGAACTGTGATGTTGTTAAACTTTGATATGTATACCTTATTATTGATGTTTTTCCTGAATATGAGTCAAGATTCATTGCCTTTGATCATAAAATTGAAATAAACAGAATTGATAGCTTGTATTTTGATCTTCTATCTGGTAGACAAGGCTTTGAAAAGCTGTGGTATATACTGAAAGGGTTGTTAGTCCTATCTTATGGCCAAGCCTTAGTAGAGAGAGGTTTTTCTATTAACAAAAAGGTGTGCCAACTAAATATGAGAGAGAAGAGTTTTGTTGTAAAGAGAGTTGTACTTGATCATCTGAAAGTTAATATAAGTAAAGAATTGATTGTGTCAGAAGCTAGACAGAAGTACATGATGTATTTGGATGAACAAAGGTTCAGAAAGAAAAATTAAAGCAAGGGGGAAAAAGGAAATGTGTAATGGATAAAGTTGAGGAGTTAAAAAATAAAAAAGGAGGCTTAAAACTGATGCAGGTGCTCTCATAAAGTCAGCAGATAGTTTTGCTGAGAAGGCAGAAATAACACAAAATGTGAAGGAATTGAGAACATTGGTAGCAAAGAGTAATAGTCATAGAAGGTCTGCCAAAGAAAAGCTAATTGAGGCAGGAAAATTTGATACTGTAATTAACAGTAAGCTGGCAGAAT